ATTGATTGTTCCCTAAGTTTCCTTTCAAAGCTGCCAGACCCCAGTGACCTTGTGTTCAAAAGGCAGTGTAATTTAGCAATGTAATCCGAGAGGACGCCAGAGTCGATAAAGCCAATAATTAGTCCCTGTGACCTAATAATTAATGGACAATTGGATACAATGTCTGCAAACTTCATCTCAAATGCCAGGTTTGGCTGGTGAATAGAGTTAAAAGAAATTGATATGGGTAGTTGTCGTTTTCCTTTAGATCATTCAAATAAAGAAATACTCTAGTTCAGTTTCATGATGCTAGACCATGCAAATAGTTGATACCTGGAGTCAACTTTCACTTGGTGAGTCATCAAATCAACTTTTCTGTAGTCACCACTCTTTCCAATAAATTCATTTTACCATATATCACATATGGTCTCATGTCTTACTATACAGAGTTGTTGCCCTTTAGTTATTTTTTATATAACAAAATTTGTTGGGAGTCGTGGGATATGACATTGTATTATAATCACAATCCTTTGCCCTGATTATAATAATATTATTCTTATGATATTGGTGAGGACAACATGCAAGGGAGGTGCTCAAGCTTTACCTAATCTATGCCTTATTCCAGCCTATGGGTGGGATACCCCGACGAGGGAAGTATGATCCAGTTTTACATAGTCAGACATTGGCGGAACAGAAATATAGAGAATACCTGCGGGTAATTGTGCACTCTGTTTGTGAATGTTTGCAATAGCTTATTATATAGCCGCAGTCATCCACTGATTCTAAGAATAAAATGAAAAGATGTTTATGAAAGAATGAAAAATTCTGTGAGATGTTCTATATGCAGATGTTCTATCTACAAGGGAGACAATTTGAAATATTGAATCTCCCTGATTTTGAGTTTGACGGTGAAGGGAAAACTATTTACAAGTAATAAAAAGATACAGTTGAAGGAATGTGCACAATAAGGGCCATTAGAATTTAGTGTAAAATTGGCCCTTACTGTACATACTTCTTTACTGTTATTTATTTATAAAACAATTAAAAATTGTCAAATTCTGGTGATGGCAACTGACAAATTGAATGCACTGTTTGTCACAATTTGTATACTATAAATTTATGTATTTGTAAACTTGAGTCAGAATGGTTTGTTTGTATGTGTTAAAATACAGTAACAATATTAAAACTAATTAATATCATTAAAGTAGATAGACAAAAATTGAGAGTGCATGATTTTGCTTATGGTGCGATGGGTTGTAGATTTTAGAGAATGTGAATTTTTAGTTAGAATCCTACTAATTGTGTTGTTTTTGCACAATGTTGATTTGGAAGTTTTGGGTCTTTTTAATGTGAATGAATGTCAATATGGTGAAAAGGGTTGTACATATATTGTGTCATTAATGTATCTTCCACAATGCTTCTTTAAATATTGTTTGATGTTTTTAAGATTTTTTTTCTGTATGAATACAAAAAGTCATGTTATGTTAGAATTGTCATAGTATTAGTACATTGTTATGATATATTTAATACCAAGCTCTTGTCCTTTTGATGGGTCATATTAGTCATCCTTTCTTTGAACAAGACAAAGCCATAGATCATCATTTCATTGGGAAAATGTCGTCATGTTTGTTGTTCCTTTCATCATTGAGAAAAATCACCGATTCATTTCCTTAAAGATTTCATAAAAAATTCATTTGAAATATACTTAAATGAGAATAATATATATTACATAGTGATAAATGTTTCTTTTACCTGGAACTTTCATCTCTTTTCTATCAATATGAAGTTCACTTTGCTTTCCCTAATTGACAAAATTATTTCCAAGGTCATGCATATATTTTTGGAAAAATAATGAAAGGAATCACCTAGTTCCATGCTTATACATTCTTGAAATTTCAATTTATACCAGTATGGAGGTTTCAGCCCACAAACAGTTCTGCATATGTGTCATTGTTTAGCACAATGGCTTTGATCACTGTACTACATACAAGTATGCTCATGTCTTTTACCAGTCTGATATTATACAAGCAAGTCGTGAACACAACAGAGGAAGCTGACACGCCCATTACTCTGGCTTTCATTGCTTGAATGTTTTATTTGCTCTTATTTCATAATACCACCTCATACTCTTATTTATCTTCCGTTCATTCAAATTTTTTCGCGTTAATATAGATGTATTCATTTAGCTAACATTTCATTTGTGTCGTTATGACTGTATCACAGGTAAACGAAGCTATGATTTAGTCAGTTGCTATGCAGCATAAGTTGTGTATGGAATATTTCACATGTCTGTGCATACCACTTAGTATCCTAAAGCTTAGACAAAATATGCTCTACGATATCATTTAAAATCGTCGTTCCTATTAAAGGCCATCTTTAGAAAAAGATTTTTGAGGTCAACTTTTGATTACAATTTTAAGAATCAACTGAGTGAAGAAGAAAGTGATTCTAGCGATGATTCGGACATAAATGATCATTCCAATCGTCGCAAAAGTCGACATTCGAAAGACGATGAAGAAGACCAGCATTCTCCATTACCATGGGATAATTATCTTTTTGAAGGAAAGCACACTGACGAATTTCTGGTAGGACAAATTGTGTTTCAACGTGCATGGTTTAGGCTTATAAAGCGACATCATTTCTATCTGTTTTTTCATTCTTTTGTTATTCAACCTTAAATCAGGAAGTTTTCATTATATTTCAAATTTTTAAGCTGAAGATTTGGTGTTATGATACTATGAACTTTGCAAATTATTTTTTCCCCTATAAAATTTGTGATGTTCACTTTCTGTTATTGTATAAGGTTTGTATCATAACACAAAACTAGAGTTTATACAAGTGTATGGAAATCTTTCAATTCTTTTTTTTTTTTGTCTTAAATTCAGACAACTTCTCATTAATATTATTTAGTATAAACTCCTTTATTCTCAAAAAGTTAATAATTTCTATTTGGATTACAAAATAACTATAGGCTCGGGGTGGAATTCCTAGAAGAAGGAAACAAAAATACACTCGGAAGTCTGGCAGGGCCAAGGAAAGGAAAAATGAATACATGGCTTTTCTTCAATCGGTAACCATGACAACACATTTATTTCATGTCATGTGCTTATTTCTTTTAAGATATAATATTAGATCCTGTAGATTTGCCTTGCTATAGTTAGTGTTGTGATGAATACAACTAATACCTATGTTAGGCTGTGTCTTGTCTTAGAGCAGTTTTAATAAACTGTTTGTTGTTTACTGACTTAAAATGTTTTCTGTGACTTGTTTTGGTTTAATTTTGATTTGGAATTAAATGGTGACTGGTTGACCTTTTGAATGCTAAGCCATTTTATTTTAGTAGTGGAACATGTGGTCAGTGGATATCTAAAGACCCTGAAAGAAGCTGAAAACCTTCATTTTTTTTTTGTAGTAACTTTTTAAAGGTGTCTTTTGATCTGAAACAGAAATCAAGAGTTTGAAGAAATTTGGATTTGATCTTTTCTGGTTAAGAATTTGGTACTAGTCATTTTTATCCTAGAAAAATGGAAATTTCACCTGATTTTTATCTATCACCTGGTGATATTGTGTGAGAGATTGTTTAATGTAAATTTTATATGTGCCACTAAAATGATTATTTCATATTTGTGATTGTTTACTTTTAAAGCAACCCTTCATAATTACTTCTCATTTACTTCATTGTACTTTTGATCCGTATTTCATCTTGGTCCTTTTATGAAAACTACCAGGACAGCTGTGTACTTTTTCTATATCTGCTATAAGCACTGTTATACACACACCAGCAAGTCCAACTTTTGTTAACGATTGTATTTTCCTGGGAATGATATGTTTCATCTTTCCTTCTATTTACATGTTGTTATGGTGATGTTTGAATCAGGTTACAAAACACATATGGAAGTATTTGGTTTCTGTGATTGGCTAGAGATTTTTATGTTTGTTTTGTTGCTACCTGTGCTTTCCAAAAGAAACACTTTATAGATAATTTTCTAAGGCAGTAATGACATCACCTGTATCAGTCCATATTTTAGTGATATTTCATGGCTGCCACAAGTTAATGTGTTTCTGTCTCTATGATCTCTGGGGAAAGCTTTATTTCTCTGAGATTATTATTCTTTGGTTCATTGCATGTCTATATACACAAATCAATTCCTGGTAATATGCTTTGTTAATCTTACAATGACTTACTAAATACAACCAGACCTTACATAGCCTGTTTTTGTTTTCATGCTGCAATCTGACTGACATTTGACATGCCTGTTGGTTAGAGTTAGTGTCCTATATTGTATTTCTCGTCCACTTGTATACACACCATCCGATTCATTCAGATTACTTTTCTGATTAAACCTTTTTCATGTTCAGAAAGCATGTGATGTTGGTTTTGATTTATATTTGACACTGCTACAGTTTTAATTTTTTCCCCCTAACTTTCTTCCCTCTCATTTTCCCATCGATGCACACAATATGCATTTTGACAGTTTGTCTTATATTTTTCTGTGCTTTTGATTGAAATTATACGTCTAATGTATTTATGTACATTGTCTGTCACGAATTAACTTGAGTAGAAACAGCAATGTAAAAATACAACTTTTTACATTTTTTTTCTGTTAGGAGGAGACTTGCACCATCAAACTCCTAATGAGTTTATTTTTTATTGCCTAGGTAAATCATGTTTAGGAAAGATTGTTAAAAACAGATCAATATTTTCACTGCAGTCATTGCATCATTTTATTGTCAGCTATGTAACTTGTAATGTTCAGGTCTTCATAAAGCTTGGAATGAGGTCCATGTGCCAATAACACATGGTCATAGAGATTGTACATTAATGTCAAGTCATGAAAAAGCTTGGATTTGATTGTGCAATAATGTTCAGGTCATAGAAAAGCTTGGATCAAGGAGGAGAAAGAATACAGTTCATAGAGATACTTCAATTTGATCCATTTCAGTTTTCCTTGAAACTCCACATGGCTATTTATGATTTTGAAAATATGTTAACCATTTGATATTGTTTTCCTACATTAAAGAAACTGCTGGAAGTACAAAAACATATTGAATCACAAATGAAGGAATTACAAAATCAATCTGGAGAAGAAGTTGAAAATACAACAGATGAGCAGGATGGACAGAACAAAAGAATGCATACACAAGCAAATAAAGAGAAAAAACTCTCAAAACGAAAAGATGTTCAGAAAAACTTGCTTGTTCATCAGCGTGGATTACAAACTCCCCCTTGGGCAGAACATTTTGATATGGAAGAAATCAAAACAACAGAAAAAATTGGGCATCAAAGTAATAAGAGCATAGGTTTATCTGAAGAAACAGGTAACATTGACAATCATCCAAGGAATCAAAACCACAAGATAAACTCAAAAGTTACTGAAGTAGAAAAAAAGACAAACAGGAATCGTCACAGTCATGAGAGGTATGAACCTAGTCAACCTACCCAATCTGAAAGTCGTTTAAGAACCAGCAATAAAAAGGATTTTGAAGACTCTGGTGGCAGACACAGGTTTCAATATAACCAAACGGATGAAGTAAAGTTGAATTCATACCAGCCAGAAAGACAAATGCAAGAGTATGTCACTGGTAATTATGAGAATGATTTATATCCAAAAGGTCATCAAAATGGTTCACTTCCTGTGCAAGAAAGTCAGAATGGTTCACTTCCTGTGCAGGAAGGTCATCAGAATGGTTATTATCCAGAGAAGAAAGGTCAACGATCAGACACACGAGAAAGTGAGAGTCACTTGTGGAACAATTCCAGAAGAAAACAATATGACAAAAACCATCCTTGGAATAATCAATATAGCCAGGATCTCTCTTCAGCAGATTTTGAAAAACAAATCAAAAGTCAAGATCAACATAGAGAAAACAAAACTCTCCATCCCAGTCGCCAAGGTGACCATAGACACAGCAGAGGTCATGTAGACAAAGGTCAAAGGTGTGAAGGTCATCAAGATTTACAGAAGTATAATGACCAGAAACGAGGGAATGTGTCACAGTCACAGGAAAGAACCATCGAAAATCAGTCCAGTAGAGGTCAGTGGGACAAAACTCAATGGGATGAAGATCAGCTGAGCAAAGATCACCTTGAAAAGAATCAGAAGGATGAAAATTACCAAGGAAATGAAAAAGTAGAAGACGATTTTATGGTAGGCACTGCACATATTTAATTTTCAAGTAACAAAATCAAGGAAGTGATACCAATATTGGATAAAGGTTTTTTTTCAAGTTTTTATAATTTTGTTGTACTTAACAATAATATTTACTTACTTATATTTATCTAAATGGATATTCTGAAGTTAGAAACATTTAACAGAAAATAAAACATGACAAATATGATGTGATTTTTTTCCTTTTATAAGAAAATGTTTACAGGGATACCATTTCAAAATTTAAAGTGACAATGATAATATTTTTTTCGAGCAAAGCAAACAGTTCTTACAAACAAACTAGTTAAGTCTCTGATCTTGACAGCCATTTGGTGGAATGTTAAGGAGAAGGAAAGTTGATCCAACAACCTTAAGGGCTGAGTTTTTGAAGGAGACACGGAGGAACTACAATGAGCTAACTATGGTAACCTCAGCACTTAGCATGTGATCACAGCGACCTATATTTTTGTCTGTTGTTAGTTTTTGTAAGCATGTGATCACAGCGACCTATATTTTTGTCTGTCGTTAGTTTTTGTAAGCATGTGATCACAGCGACCTATATTTTTGTCTGTCGTCAGTTTTTGTATTGAGCCTTTAATGTTGTTAAACAATATTTTGTTTTCACAATTGATTGTCTTTCCATAACCTTATTACTAGTTTTTTTTTTTAAATCTTAGTTCAGAATGAATATATGTATTGTATTTTTTGTTGTAAAAATGTTGTGTCATAGTTATTTTTCTTACATTTTAATGTGTTGGCATGGATGCATGATAAAAAAATTCAATTTTCAAATAGGCCTAAGCCTTTAATGAAAGAACTTTTTCGCCAATTATTCAGATATCTGTGTAAGTTCAATCTTTTAGTTTTCACTTTTATATCACAATATTCTCAGATTTTGATATAAGCCTGTCCATATAAATTACTGTTACTGTAGAATTACCAATAAATGCTATTTCATTATCCTGTAGTATAGTGTCTTAATTTCGCTGGGCTAATATCTAAAGGTTGTTTCTGTTTAGGTTATATCCTAATGATTATGTTTCAAGCATTGGTACATGAGTTTCAGTAAATACAGTTATATAACATAGATTTCTGTACGTTTTGACTTATGCTAATATCTGCTTGCTATTAAATTTTGCATTATCTTTGATTATTGAAAATTTAGCGAAATTAAATCCCCCGCTGAATATCACCGCCTATTCAGTAAGCCACCCCTCTGATTTTGAGCATTTGAGCATTTCAGAATGAGTTTAGTTATTGCTGGTGATAGACAAGGTATATTCAACAAAGAAATACAACTGTATTTACTTAAGAAGAAAAAAGGTTTAGTTTAATTAGCTGTCAGTTTGTGTGAAACTGTATTCTGACAATACCCTTACTGTTAATTATGTGAAGGAAAGTGAGATTCTTTTTAAACACTGTCACCATTTTTTTGTCAGAAAATTGACAGGTAACTTATAAAACAAATCTTTGATTGTTCATCTAGTGTGTTTAGAGCAATTACTGTCTGTCATTTTGCCAAAGATTTTAAAAAAGCACAAAGTATACCATTCACAATGACAAGCCTGTAACCTTATAGAATTACATACTGACCTGTCTCACAGAAAAATTGTTCTGGCAGGTGTAATTTTCATTATAACAGTGATGTACAGGGTTTGAATGTTTATAATGTTTAAAATATCGACTTGGGTATAGCATTATAAACTGGAAACTTCAGGTCAATTAAGGTGTTTCAAGCAATTTATATATATATATTTGCTGAACTTCAAACAATCAAGTGTCATGTATATTGTAAATTGTTTTATAGTGGCAAATCTTAAGTGTATGTTTTGGAAACTCTTACGCTATATAAGTGATTGGGCAAACAAGGTGAATTCTGAATTACCTTGGGGGTTCAATGCTATCACAGAGAAAATGTTCACCTGTGTAAGCAATTCAAACAGCAAGGTACTCCTTTTTCAAAACACAGAGGAAATTTCAGAGATGATAAAATGCATGCATTTATCTCATAAGAAATGTTCCATAATTTTACATAAAAATGGGTTTACAAAGGATGACTTTGGTTTGTCTTACACTTGGGTATAACATATAAAGGAGCTTGGAAGTATCAATCATGTCACCCAGAAATATCAAATGTATGTCAGGTATTGATTCAGGCTGAACAAACAGTGATTTTTTTTGTTGACTTAAACTCTCTGTGGAAATCAAATGAAACACACAATATTGCTTCCTGTTTTTGATTATATTCGACCTGAGGGAATATAGAACTTTTAGTCTGTCCTCACTAAGCCATATAGTCTGGAAAGGACTTTTATAGTCTCACTTGTCAGTTGTTGAATCTGTCTAGGGTGGATTTATGATGATGTTTTCTACCTATGCGTGAATAACGTTTTTGTCAGATCTCTTTCTCCATTTTCAATTGAACTCTTTCATCATGACAAATGCATGCAGTTGCATTTTGCCATAGAAGCATTTTGATTTTGAGGGTTTTGTGGGAAAGGTGTAGCCCTGTGGATTTTCAGCATTTCATTCTTGTCCAGAGGTAGACTCAATTATCATGACATATAGTCCATGAATTATCTTGTACCACCAGTATGCTCAGTTTCTTGAAATAGCAAAATTTTGTGTCTCTCTATGATTCTTGAGACAGTTATGTTTCACCATAATTTTATCGAAATTCTGTCTTGTATCCATTTAGAGATGTATGTCCCTTTGCTTATTATACATTACAATACATTACATGGCCTGAGGCAGATTTAATATACTTAGTCACAACTGCCAAATTGTACTTGATTAGGACTTGATAAAATGGTGGAGCATTAATACTAGATTTGGGCTTGCACACCTCAATACAGAGTTATGGCCCTTGGTTAATCATCTGTCTTTTTTTGGGATAAATGGTAAAAGCTCCCTTGATTAAAGAAGGTGTAACTGCATAAACCATGTTTTGATTAATATAGAATCCACAGGTTGTTGGCATATTACAGCCGTAGTGATAAAAATAAAGATAAAAATGCACTATTCTGTCAATTCTGTATGGATTGGGGCATTACAGATTTATAAAGGCTTGATACAGGGAGGCCTACTATATACTCTGTTTTATGATAAATGCTTACAGGTAAAAAAAGACTTGGCCATGATTCACACTATAGTTAATCTATTTTCAGGTAATAAGACTACACATGATGAAATGTTTACCTTTACAAATGTAAACTCTTGATAATAGGAGCTGTAAACTCGTTCCTTCAGATTCTGTTCATTCCCATTAAGTTAAAAATCTATAATATTTACCGGGGAATTTAAATTGATGTCTTCAAGTATGGCTTACAAATCATAATTGTTGTTTGTCTAATTATCATATTTTGAATTTTGATTGAGAAAAAAGGAAAAATTCTAAATGATCCATTTAATTTTGTGACATACAAATGTAGCAACAAGAGATTTAAAGACAAACTTCTCACTATTGTTGATATATTGATTGTTAGGGATAGTGGCTGAGGATATCATTAGGTATATAACTTCACTGTTATCACTTATACCAGTTACTCAATATGTATATACAGTAATAAACCCACCTCTGATAATAAGCCCACTCATTTCTATTCTTTCTCTGGAGTAAAATTACCAACAAATACTATTTTATCCTGGAAAGAGATAATGTGTTGGTTCCCTGGGCTTATTTTCCTGTAATAAGCCCACCCCCTGACATTGAGCCAGAATTTGGTCTTGGGCTCTTGGCTTATAGCAAGATAATCAAGGAAACAAGTGTTATAATTTTTTTTATTGTGGTGTTAGACCTATATAGTATCTCATAAAGACAGGCAAATGTAACAAGCTATCATCATATCAAGCTTTTATATCAACATGGGAAACTACCGAAATAAGTTTTCATCAGTTCTAGGTTATATGATAAACAGAATCTTACATTCATTGCCACTTCATATGAGATATACATAAAATGTATGAGGTTACCAGATTTTATACCATCTGTTATTTTAAGATCATTGTTAGGATTGCATCATCATAGATATATTTGTGTGATCTAGTAGTGCAGTGGTACCACATTCACCTTTCACCTTGCTGTCAGGGTACAATTCCCACAACAGATGTAAAAAGATAGGTTGCCCAACAACATGGGTTTTTCCAGGTGGGCACTCTGGCTTCCTCCCATAGTAACAGGTCTCACTTACTTTCATCTGGGCCAACAAGAGTGATTGTCTGTTTCACAATTGTCAAACAAATAGAGTTTATGTTATATTAAATATATTTTTTTTCAAGAAATGATATAATACTGCATAACTTATACAATTCTCACTCTGTGTATTCACTGACTCAAAAATTCTTTATTTGATCATAATTTGGTGTCTTTTGTATGGTGTCCTAAGTTTTGGTTAGCGATATAAACTTCTATTGGTATGGAAATATAAAGAAATCTGTCAAGATGATGAATACGGCTGTTGGATGGGTCTGATATGTGATTAAGGATTGTGAATTAGAGATTATTAAGCCCTGAATGCCAGATTTTACTTGTGGGTGTTTTTGATTGAATCTTTTCTCTTGCCTGGTTTTGTCTGTTTTGGAATACAGGATCATTGCATCTACAGAACATGAAGTGAATTAAATATACAATATATTTAAACTTGTAGTAATAGCTTTTCAATGAATATTCTTTACATGGGATATTAAAGTACAAAAAAGATTGTTGTCCAAAGAAGAATGTGAACTATATATTAACACTGTACAATCTACAACAGAAAATGAAAGAAGAACAGGCTAAAATAAAAGAACCCGCGACTCCTCCAGGAGGCTTGGACGTGGGTCAGTATGAACTTTACCGCAAACGTCTCAAGGAAGACTTGGTGAATGATTATAAATCTTCGTTACTACAGGTAAAACCTATCATTGTTTACAGAAAGTTCCTTTTACCTCTCTCTCCCATAGCTTCTTTTCATCCCTGTCTTCTTCATTCTCATATTTAAACAAAAAATTAAACTAATATTTCCACTGATTTTTTTTGTCACTATATCTGTGTCTTTCTTATTTCCATGTTTTCACAAGAAATTGCAACATTGGATAACTCATGTTCCTAATGGTCACCTTCGGTTAAGGTCGTTGAAGGTCAAAGATTGGTTGAATTATTGGATTGCATGTTGGTATCTGGTACATTTTGCCTGGGAGTCATTCTTGTAATTTTACCTTTATTTTCAATTTTTTCCTGGTATTGAAAACAAGCCTTTCTTTCATAGATTTATAAATATTTGATATGTATGCACTAAAAAGATAAACTGAATATAACAAACAAATACATGTAAAATAAGATTTTCCCTCATTAAAACTCACTACAACCACAAAGTTTATGTAATTGAGAGAAAATACCAAATAAAATTTGATCATCACGGATTAATTTTAATTCTGTTCAAATTTCACATAATTATCTCCTGTGACTCTCTCACTTTTCAAATTACCTGTTAGCTTTCTTACCTGTTCTCACTAATAAAGATTTGTGTGACAGTCAAATCAATGCCTGACCAGTATTACATTCAGTGTAGAGTATTGAATTCCATTAAATTAAGTTAAATTAGTTTTTGTGTGAGAAAAAAAACTGCTTGTACCAATTATTTCAAAATTTATTGCTGTATGGGTACATAACAGTTCAAACTATAGGAATAGTGATAAGCAAGGACTGTATGTATATCAAAACTTACTGAGGTAGGTATACAGGTAGATTTATTATTTATAATATAGGTGTAATTCCTTTGAATATGTTTATCAAAAAGGTGTAGCACATTTATCCTTTGGTTTCAGGAATTCTTACTGTGTAACTGTCAGTATGTTTGTCATTGACCTGTTTAAGAAAAAATAAGTAAATCTGAAATGGCTTTATATAAAGGCCATCAAATCTTTTGATCCGCTATAAAGCTTCACCATCTTCTGTAAAACTTCACTTCATATTGTCTTTATTTCAATATGTTGCCTTATGTAATGCTGTCTTCTTGTTCTCTGGATCAGCAACAAAAAGAAAAAATGCAGTTTCAGTTAGCTAAAGCACAGCAAGAATACTCCAACATTCCCTTGGGGCCTGCAGTTTCACCTCTACCTGTTAAACATGTCGAGCTTTTCAATCCTGAAACCCAAAAACAACAGCTGCGTGGTGATCGCCATAGAGAATACAATGAGTTTCTACATGAGGTATCCAGTGACCAGTTGATAGATTTTTCACCCCTCACAAAGTCAAATACTTGTATCTTCCATTTAGTTCTGTCATGCCTTCTTACCTTTGCCCATTTCTGTAGGAAAATTGGCTGATAACCTCATATATTCTTTCTTGTTTCACTGACTTATCTTGGTTTTTTCAGTTTCTCAACTAGCTAAGTGGTAGACTTCAAATAGGTGCTTGCCTTTCTCAATATATTAGTATTTTAGATTAGTGATCATCGCTGTTTTGGCAAGAACTTAGTTTATAGATTTTGTACAAGATGTCATATACTGGTGGTGTTGGTTGATATACTATATGTATGCCTACAAACTGTTTGAAATTTTAGCATTTTTTATTTTTTATAGCTTATTTTACATTAAAAACAAGCAACTTTGAATATCAAAATCGAAATCATATGAGCAGGTACTCCTTATAACCTAAACTCTTAATAATGATAGTAAGACCACTGGTGTCTTTACAAGTCTGAAAAATAACTAAAAAACAGCCCCTTCTCTGCCTCCAACACCCTCCTAGAAGATTGGCTGTAACGGGAACAAAAGTCTGACCATTTACATGGAGGTAGTGAATTCCATTTAATAAAAGACCATTAACATAATGTAGTTATATGAGAAAATTTCAGAAAAATTATAAAAACCAGGGTATATAGATTTACAGTATGGATGGAACGGAGTAAATGTGTATATAATACCATTTGTTCAGTATTTTTCTGTTTACTTGGAATTGCTATAAATAAAATGAACTTTGAAATAAAATTGGTCGAAATTCCATTCTTTCCTGTCATTTGTTTAAATATAACGTTTCATCTACCAGTAATATTTTCATGATCATTAAGGTGAGTATTTGTAATTATAATGATTTTTTTTTTCTTTAGATTTATTCTTTTGTGTTGTTTTAGGTGTTTTTAACCAAAAGCTAATAAACTAATATTGTCTGTGTAATTGCTATATCTTTGCCTTTTTCATTAATTTGGTTTTCCAATTTTTGAGAGTTTAATTAAATTATTAATTTTTTTTTTCATTTTTCAATATACCATTTGCTGAGTTATTTCAGACAAAAATCCCCCCTCTTCTGTTCAAAGCTACATTTTTTAATCTGACTCCCAGTGGATCACAATAAGGTCAGATTACACAGGCTGTTTACCTGTATATACATAGTTCAAATTCAGGATTATGTTTTGTAAAGCAGAATGTCAAAATATGGAGAGGATTGAGTAATAGGATTCAGTTTATCGGATAACTCATCAAACACTCCTTTTTTTGTACTAAAGTACTTGACATCTGTTTTACTGTTTATGTATAAAGGTGCTGTTTAGATTTGTTTTTGTTTTACAATAAGAGACAGACTTTGGTAAATGTGCCTTTCCACTCTCAGAAAATGAGAAAAAAATGAAATGTTAGAATGTAGTTTATATTAGAAAGCTAATTGACAAATACATGCACTGAAGTAGACATGAAAGTTTGGAACTTTGCTGATGGAACACTAAAAATTGATATTTAAATGCTCCTTGTTTCCTTTTACAGTGTTAAAGATAAATTTCTGAATTATATGATATTTGTATGTTACTTGAAGTATTTAATATCAAAACTATTTAAAAAAAAAAGACAAAACAACCCCACCCCCCCTCATTCACCTCCATAGCACTACCACCTTCTTTTTTTTCAAAGTTCCAGACTAAATCAGTGTATGCTTGATATTGTCTTGAGCATGTTTAGATATTTTACATGAACGCATGGTTAGTTATGCATGTAATATTCATAGAATATATTTGATGTAAACATTGAACTGATCAATGATGCCATGTTAATGGTGATTTGACTGATACAATGAATTATGAGAATGTCCCCTATATATATCAGATGTCATTAAAGTTTCAAGCAGGATCATGACTTTTCACTACTTTCTGAATTAACAATTAAGATGCATTTTTATTTTCTCATATAATTCATTGCATTTTGCTTTAGTTAAAAATAGTCTCTAGATCAAAAATAATGACATTTTACATATTTTCATATCCAGTTTACAAGAAAGCAACACTTGAAAAATATCATTTGAACTGTATCTTTATTTCTAGCAATAGTATACATAATTTACAAATGATGTTGTTTTACATTGTTCTTGAATTTTGAATTTGATCTTTATTTTTGAAGCGTTTACTTTATATTTAATTGATCTGCCTTTGTTTTAATGACAGAAGGAACAAAAGCCTTCTCCACGGAGAATGCCTACGCCTCCAAATGGTCTAGATATTGTCACTCAGGATGAGAGGACAAGGCAGGCGAGGGAGAAACAGAGACTTTATGGACAGGAATTACAAAAGGTAAGTAGAAAACAAACTATTGAGATATGGGGAATGGCCTCCATTTGCAATACATATAATGTAGACTTGCATAAAACCATGGCTGTCTTAAACTTATGGGACCTCGTGTCCTTTTCAAATTAGTGAAATAAAACTTAATGATTTTTTTTCTGAAATACTGTTTTACTCCCAATGTTAGTTCATATCAGAAGGAAAGAATCAGTTGTTTTCCATATCATGTTATGTATGTTCAAAATTTCTGTAAGGCTCTCTTTGAGTTTCTTTCCTTACTGATGGATATTTCACTATTTACTTCCCCCTCTCAACTAATTGTTAACGTAACACTTTCGCTTTTTCTTCCTGTAAATTACAGCAACCTAACAGCTGATTTCTGATTAAAACAAAAATTCTCTGATCTAACATCTTTAGCAAAACTGTTCTTAAAAAATCTCACCATTCTAAAGCTGTTCAGCTAACCTTGTGTATCATGGATTTTCAATAAAAAAAATAAAGTTAATATTGTTTTACGGTACCAGTTATTTGCAATTGAGACTCTTAAAGTTAAACATCAGATTATTTTCAAAATACAAAGAACAAAAATTGACTTAGAATCTATTTTATGATAAGAACATTTGATGTTATCAACAAAGGCAATTAAATGCGAAATGATAAGTTTACAGATTAAGATGTATAGTTAAATGTGTCCTTAAACTTACGACAGCTTTTTCTTTCTCCTTCTCTCTTATCTTCATGGTGATGCAGTTCTTAAAGCTTTTCTACTGTCTTGTGTTCAAGGTTGATTAAGACAGTGACTTAAGTCAGGATCATGAAAATGTTTTAGATCAGTAGTTCTGCTTAGTGACATGTTTCCACTGCTACAAATTGGCTTTCATATGTTCTATTTATTTTGTTTTCTTCTTTTGATGCAATTATTTTTCTAGATTTCAGTGTGATTTTATTTCAATCATTTACAGCAATCACAGCAGCAAATGCTCCAGAAAATTCAGAATAATATTGCGGTAATTGATAGAACAGGTCAACAAGCAGCCATTCCCAATCAGTACAATCAAGTCCCTCCACAGCAGCACAGTATGCCACCGCCCCAGCAACACGCCTCACCCCCTTCCCGTAATGTGGCACCAAATCCTCCTCCACAAAGCTCTTCACCACCACCACCAGCACCACAACATGCCCAAATGTTACCTCCACAACAGCATCAGTCCCAAATGAGAACCCCTCAGATACATCACAACCAGATGCAAAACTTCCAAAGGGAACATCACCAAGCCACACCTGCTGGATCTCAATCTCCCCCTCCCCGGCAGAGGAATCACCCCACACCCCATGTAGCAGACCAGGGGCACTATGCGGAATTTAATGGCAAACAACAGAGTCCTGTAGACTCGAGAGATGGTCACCGTCCCCCACCCCACCCGAGGAGATACACCACCCCAGATAGGCTTGATTGGGCCCGAGGACCACCCAGACAGAATGGAACTCCCACAGGCAGATCCTCGCATAGGGTAATTAATGTATGTGTATATACCAAATACATGTATTGCACCTTGAGGAACGCATGCTTGTCTGATTTGGAAATATCTTTGTATAAAGATCAAAGTGACCAACCTTCCAGAATTTTCCAGTGATGTCTATGCTTCTAAAATTAGAAAAATCACCTTATTTATTGCTGTGATACTTTTCTTTTGTCACTTCACGTTTTGCATTGTTCAGACTTTTCTTCTGAGGTACAGTAAAATATGTTAAATTAATGCAAGAGAATTCACTTGTTCTTAAAAAGTCATTTTAATCTGTGAAAGTATACAAAGTAGATGTAATTGGGAGTCGTATACTTTATCAAATTCATTTCAAGCATATTTTACTGTATCAAAAGCTCATAGAAAGTCTGTAAATCCTTTTTCTCTTTCTTCGAAAATTTATGAGAATTTAAATGTTTACGGTTAAAATTTTTGAGAAATTTTGATCTTTGAGAGTGGTCTATATCAAATGCTTGTTGATCCTAACTGATTTTTTTTAGCTGTACTTCGCAAGTTGTGCAATATTCTTTCATGCAATCTTTTATCTAAAGTTATGTTTTAATATTAACATTATATATAATAGAATAAAACGTGAAATATGTCCATATCAGGGCAGATCTTGTTGACATTGTCATGGTGATGGGAATAATAGAGGCATTATCAGCTTTAATCTAGCAAGGAATTGGACCTAATTTGTTACTCTTGGCATAGAACTAAAATATAGCATACAGTAATAGATCATCTTTACAGAACAATATAATTACAGGTTTGTGTTTAGTTTTTAATTGGTAGTTTTACTCAATAACATTGGTTGTGGATGTTTTTGTTTAGGGCCTCTCTAAATAGTGTTGATTTACATTTAGATAAAGCATCATCAATCAATCAAAATGGAATTTTTTTAACAAATGAAATTACGATATGGATTGAGAACATGATTTGATATATATGTATTTTATGTCTACCACTCAGTGTCATTGGAGAGAATCTAGTTCAAGGTCACGATCTATAATGTTCCAAACATTTGAACCTGAACATCATATCTTATAAGAAATATCACAAATTAAAAACAATTGAATTCAAAATTCAGAGGTGATAAGGCCAAAAGAAAAGAAAATCCTGGGACATTTTCAATATAAAAAAGCTTATAGAAACTATATGGTTAAAATATTTTTTATATCAACATTTTAAATATGATTATTTCCTGTGTAAGGTTTGTTGATAATTTTGCATGCTTCTATGCTGTGTGTTTTTATTTTTTTATTTATCATCCTTTTTTTTTTGTTTTTTGGTAATTTTTTGCTGTTGTTTTGGTTTATTTTAATGAGAGAGCAGGATTGCTCAAAAGCTTGAATCCTATTGGGGAAAGCCTTCATTTCATAAAATATTAAGTATCTCCGACACCTTGAATCACCATCATTATATAGGTGTGATTAGATATGGCTAGTATATATATATATATATCTATGTATATCATATTTAAATGTAAAGCGTGACATCTGAAAAGGACCAAGCATACTGCTAGAAAAAATATGGAGGGATCAGATTCTAATAAAAAAAAGAAGATATTGTATTGTAAATAATGCATTGTCTTGTTGACAAAGCCATATCCATCATATGGGTAAATCAGTTATGTTTTTATATATTCTTTTTTAATGAGATATTTCAGAACAGGATGGTAGCATGCAATTAGAGTTTTGCTGACATAATAAACCTTACTGTATGAATTATATTCAAAAACATCACATAAGTATTTCTTTTCTGAAATCTTTCTAACTAATTTACTAAAATCACTGACACCAAACAATTCTATACATGGTTAGCGTGACGATCGACAGACTCCTAGTTACTGGAATGGCGGAATCCCTGTCAAGTCTCCTGCGACCACTCCCAGTACTCGCACGCCCAGCACTCAACACTCAAATAGGACCTTGACCCCTAAAGACTCCCAGGTACCCACTGGCTGGTCTCACTGATGTCGTAGTTTGATGTTGGGGACTTGTTGGTGCCTAACGTAGCTTGGCTTGACATTTGCTTGATTTGACTTTAGCTTAAACATTGGGTTACATGTACCCATTGTGTAGTCAGCTTGCAGCAACATTTATCCTGTTGTATAAACGTATTTACAGATGTGTAAACATTGTTTTATCTTACATAGTAGTTTCAGACTTTCAGTAGTCTGATCAAACTAACATTTGATTTAGTTTTCTGCTGTGAATAGTGTTTACGTTTTCCGCTAATCATCAGTGAAAAAAGCCACATTCAGAAAAATTCTATTTATACCTATATTTCCATAGATGAGCCGATCATAAAATCTACCAGACCTTGCCAATAGGCCTTTGTGCATCCCAGTTTGGTAGATTCTCCGTCAAATCAATGTTTACGTATCCAATAAATGTTTATACCACATGTAGGTTTGTCAATATCAGTTTTCATACTTAATGTCTTAGTTTTAGAAACATTTCCTGTATTTAATATAGTTAATTCTAGTCATTAATTTTTAATACTATCATTCTTATTAAGTAGATTTAGATTTCTTTAATTCCTATTTCTTTTCATTATTAATTTCATTTGTTTTCATTTATTTCAGCATTATTAATCTGGCTAATGTATTTACTAAGATTTGATAGCAGGTTATTGGTGAGATTAATGTAATTTACAAGTAACTGGCACAAAAACAACTGTTAATATTGAATGCCAACAGCCTTTCTGGACAAATCATAATATTTAAAGGGAGATAAATCATCCTATATGAAAACAATGTATAACCTGTCTGAAACAAACCCAGTCTAAACCAAACATTTCAATCTGTATTTGATTAATTTTGAGGTGGTTTGATTTTGCTTGATGTACAATTAGTGGAAACTGCCAGTTTTAAAATTTCAAACATAGGTAAACCATGTTTCAATCAAAGAAAGTCCAGTTTATCAAACATATATCTAATACATGTACATATTTTAATTTTGATTTTTGAATACCAGTTGGAATTTTCCTGGAATATTCTTTCATATGTTAAACAATTTTATTTTGTCTGAAATATGTGAAAGTGATTTTTACCATAAAAACTTTAAAATGCCTCATTTGAATGCCTTTTTACTTCTTATCTACTCCATGATACTTTAATTAAACTGGTGCCATTTGAAAAGATGAAAAAAATAAAACAGTTTAAACTATATTTAGCATATAAAAACCCTATTGTATAATAGTTTAGTCAACTTTCACTCGATATATTTCTATGGGAGTGTTATTTTTTTATAAGAATATATGTCCCATGCTTGTTCAATTTTTTCACCATTTCATAGTGTTTGGTTTAGGCTAATTTTATTGTAGAATTGCTTGTTAGTCAGGCAGGCATCAATAGCAGAAAATGTATTGAGAGACGCCATGGAGTACTTATATAGATATTTTACTTGGTTACCTCATTTGTGGCATAAAATTTGCCTAAGAATGAAGATTTTTTTTAAGATTTTGCTTTCCAATTATGAAATGCTTCTAGAGATTTAAAAATAATTACCAATTACTGAGGTTTTAAGAATTTGGCAATATTTTTGTTTTGTCACATATTTTAGAAGAATCAAACCTGTCGGAGTACTGAATCCTGCTTTTATAAGCACTTCATTTGATCTGAAAAATAAAAATTGACTAATATATATTTTAGACATTTTTCTTTCAAATTTTTTTCATCAGTTTGTCATAATTTTGTTCAACAAAAATAATTTTTATGGTCAAGAGCAACATTTTGAGAGTCTGATAATTTTCATTGCTATAACAACAAGGAAAAATCTCCTTTCTTTTTATTTTTCTTCAGATTAATACAGGAAGTTTTGTCACATATAGTTCCCTGATGAAGAATACTTCTAGCCATTTCCCTCAGAAACATTATGAACGGCGATGATATGAGGGTATCAGTGTACTTCTACTCTATTGTGTACTGTGGCATTCCTCCACCAAAATTCTCATCCTTTGTAGAAGTATGATAACTAAGCTCATCTTTGACTTTCCGCATTGTGTTCTTCTAGGAGAATCCACCAGATATATACCTTGAATCCTATCGCAGAAACCCCATTAAAGATTTGCGTCAACAGGAAAGGAATAGAGAGTACAAACACTTTCTGAGTGAGGTAAGACAATTTGTCATCATGATATGGGATTTAGACTGGATATTAGTAAATATGATGAAAATCCTAGTTGGAACATTGATTGTGTTTCTATAAAAAGTTTCTAAGTGCTATTTCAGAAAATCCAGTTCTTGAAAATCAAATTTAATAAAGATGAAAATTTTAAAGATTTTTTTCAGCATTGATTGAGTGATTTAATGATAAATTTAGAATTAGTAAAGCTGTGTAATGAATTAAACTGCATTATACTGTTGTTTCCCTCTTCTATGACCTCTCTAAGTGATAAGGGCATGGAGACTTGATAGGTGACTTAGGAAAATGAAAATTGATTGATAGAAATATCACTTTTTTTTCTTCTTAGGAGGAAATGAAAGCTCAGCAGAAAAAAGAGAAACTGGAGACTTTGAGAAGGCAGCCAGCCGTTCAGCCCAAGTACGACAATTACTCCAGCTCTGATAACCATCAACGTTACCAGAAAAACCTAAACAACGAACGTCGTGATCAGTACCAGTCCTTCTTGTCACAGGTATTGCTGCATGGTAGTTGTAGTGATAAACATACAGTTATCACATAGAAATTTTACAAGGCCTAATAACAAGCATGTTGAAAAAAGGGAAAACAGAATCAAAGAATATAAGTATAACCTTTCATTCACAAGATGCACTGTAGAAGAAGCAGTTCAGTTTTATCAATTAAGGGACAAATCATTATAAATTTTCTTACAATAAAAAACACCCTTATTTGTATGAGATGATGTAAAAAAGAAATGCAATTTTTTTTGTGTATTGTAGAACACAGTACTTTATCAACTCAGGGTTAAAATCTTATTGTAGAATCTCAAGTACTGGTACCAAAGTAGTTTATGCAACCAAATTTTAACAAAAATTCATATATGCATATTTGGCATCATCATGTACGTTTAATTCAAATTCTGTTGGTTCGGATAAAAACTGTATCAAAGGAAAAAGTTAACAACTGTGTTTCCTGAAAAACATTTTGTTCTGAAACACAACATCATTACTCACATTATTGCATGCTTCATTTCTGTCAACTTTCACAAAATTTGTATTGTTTAACCATAATTAGATAATAATAACTTACTGTATATATGTTTCTGTTTGTGTGTTAGAAATTCCTTTCTGGGTTAGATATTACTTTATGAATATCTCTGATAATTACATGTGTTATTTAATGCTTTGCTTTATGTGCCATGGTTGTTGATGTCACTGACAACACTATCTGTAGTCATGATATACTTAAAAATCCATCATGTTACACTGTAAAACATTGATTAAGAACTTTTTTACTTTGGAATAAAAAAAGAAAAGAAAAAAATATTTCCTGCTCCTGAATATCTATTGTAGAATGAGACTGTGTAAATCAGAAATGATTGTTTCCAACAGAAAATATTCAACAATCTTACAAGTTTAATGTCTTTACATGGAATCATTGATGTCTTGATTTTGTGCTTGTTTGTATATTGTATCTATTTTGTATATAGGTAATTTTGTGTTATTTCATTTTATTTTAGATAATGATTGCAAGGAAATCTCATTAATTTTGTTTGTTAAATATTTGATGATTTAAAAATAGTATTAACTTTTGAATCTCTTTTTAGTGGGAATTTGATCAACATGTAATGATAAAAATCATATCTCATTAAATCCATTTTTTTTCTTTTAATGAAAGCAATGTTTTAGATATAATATGCACTGATAAGGTTTCATTGTGGTAATTTTAAACGTTTAAGTACAATATCCATATAGTGTATACTTTTGATATGTGTGTGTGCTAGAATGGAGAGCCAGTATATGCATATACTAGGAATCCAAGCTCAGATTTAGCCCTAAGTAGGCTTTCGGGCGGGCTGGTGGGTGGCATATTTGGTGATGTACAGCACGAAAAGGAACGCCGTCAAGCGATGGAGCATCAGCGAAACAAAGAATATAATGATTTGAAGAAAAAGGTACATGTCCCCCCATACGTGGAGTGTTGCCCCACCCCCTTGAAGTGTAGTTGGAGTGACTGACAGCTTTGGCTATATATGACATATCATATTCATTCATTCTGTTACTGGTATAATGTCACATTGTTTATAAGGTTATATTGTTATATTGTCTGATTCCAAGTGTTATATATAACAATATGATTATGTCATAAAATTTGTATGGCTGGTTCGCTGTGTGCAAAGTCATAAAGTATTTCATTTTAAATCATTTTTCACAGAAAGAAGTTATATTTATTTTATTTTATTTTTTGTTGGGTATAAATGGTAATTATTGAAGCTCTAAAAGTGATTTTTTTTTTAATTTAAAATTTGGAAGTGTAAAAACAACGTTAAACAAAAGACTAAACCATATTTAAAAAAAAAATGAAAAGAAAGACAAAGAGAAGAAAATGATAATGACAAAAGTAAGAGTTAGTGAATGATTTGTTTAAAAGTGATAAAGTTTCATGTCTTCATACTCATCGCTGTTAACTGTGTGGCTAGCTTATACCGTGCATAATCCTATATCATGTTTGCGGTTTTAATTGTTTGAGTTTCCATTGAAAATGAATGTGGGAAGACACATTCTCCTGATATTTAAGGTATTATTAAATAGATAAAAAGAAACATGATGTTTTTTTTTTCAAAATTTCAGAAGTCTCTTTTAAGTGAGATTTAAAAAAAAATCATTAATTACTAATGTAAGTACTTTAAACTCCAGAAGAAAAGGATTCAAAATAAAAACAGTTGAAAAGTACTGTGATTTGTAATAAATGTGACTTCATTATTTCAAGAGTGATGTAGGCAGTGACATGGCCTTTTGTGTTGCAATTAAATTAAATGATTAAAATAAGAGTGCAATTGAATTTTGCTTAAAAAAAAAAAAGAAAAAAAACTAAATAAAAAAAGCTGTATTATTTACCAAAGTATCAAATTACACTTGGCAATGATCCATTTTGGACATGTTGGAAATATTAGATAAAACTTATTCTTTAACCAAGTACTTTTGTGCAAATTGAGTATGATCTTTATGATGTTAATGTAGATATTTTTTGGCTGCTATATATTTATTTATCTTTTTTAACCCTATACTTACCCCATATTAGGGTATATACTTAAAAGGTTTTGAAAATGCAATAATATATTTTAATTCTGACATGCATTCACTGCCAACAACATACATTGAACTTGTGTGAACAAAATTGTGCTGGCTACAGACATACAATAGTTAAATAAATAAGTTTGTTTGAATGTGTTACTGATTGTTACATACTAACCGAAAGTTTGTGTGTGTTTATATAAACAGTATTAGTGCAAAAGATTGTTTTTGAAATAAGTACTAATAAGACTTTGATGAGAGCTTTTTAACTGTCTGATTGGTAATTATGTAGAAAACAATGTTTCTTCAAGCATTGCGCATCACTGGGAAACATTTTTGAAATTTGTTTACTGAATTAATATTCATGTTTTTTCATTGAAATTTGTTTTCATTTCTATCTCATATAATAATTTGTCATTATGAATAGATGTTATTTATTGAGCAGTAACTAGAAAAAAAACAATCATAGCAAGGTGGGAAGGTGTTAACTATACATAAATGCGTAACCATAAATTTGATGGTGCAAATCATTGTTCAAACATTTGTTTTGAAGTCTAAACATTCACAATATCATTTAAAGAATTTTGATTATGCAAACACTTGTGCATAAATTATTATTATTATGGAGTCATACAACACAATCACATATCTAAGTAGTATCATAAATTAATTAAAAACAATTGCCATAATTTATTTTACTTTGAAAATGTTTAGGAAATGCAATGACAAATGAGTTAGCTATCATATTTCAGTTGAACAATGATTTGTATTCGTCACAGTCTGTTCTTTGTTTGTGAAGTTTGTTTTGTAAATCAATCGTTCATAAACTGACCACTCATGTAGTGTTGATGAGAAATGTGTGTAGAGTAGATTAACGTCTAGGGTGTAGATAGTAAGGTATAGTGAGACATAATACAAGGATATTGTTCTGAGGGTAATCATGATTATGTTCAACAGATGATATGTTGGGAATTTGTCGTTTTATTAGGAAACACTTTATGGACAAGGAAGGGGCAGTCAAAATTTTTGTTTCTGTTTTTTTTAAATGTAGTAAATGCTTGTGTTGATAATTTACGATGGGCTGGTTTGTTTTCCCTATAAGAATTTGGATGTTCTCTTTCTATATTTTCTGTTTATGCCAGTTAAGCTATATGGGATCTGCTGAGTTTAGCCACATTGATACTAAACCAGTATATACAAACAAGATGCAACCTTGTAATAGAAATTAAGCTGTGGGATTTTTCTTAGAATTCATAAGGAGATTAATTGAATTAGTAAATAATGTGGATTCACTTAAACTGATTTTAGATTGGTATGTTGAATGTGTATGTGATCAGATGCTTAAAACCAATGGAGTGAAAGAGGAGTTCAAGTTGTTGATAGATTCATATGATAGAGCTCATTGCCAGTGGTAGTTGATTGAGAGTGGTGAATGTTGTAAACGATACATCTATGCAAAAAAGTTAACATAATTTGACTTTTTTAAAACACAAATATGCTCACATGGACTGAAAGTGTTTTCATAATGTGTCACATAATGGGAAATATTGAATAACATGACTTTGTAAATCAAAGTTAATCATCTGTTTGTATTTGGTTCGTGACAAAGTGAAAAAGACTTGCAAGTCTTGCATAATTTGGTATGTTATTCTTATGAGAGGCCAAGGTAACTTAATAAATCTGGTTTTCTCTCAATGTTAAATAATTTTTTTTCCGATTTCAATGAGAGTAGTCTTGGATTTCAATGAGAGTTATCTGATCGGGCCTGTTTCCTTTTTACTTTCCACCAATGAAATAAACTTCCTGCATGCTTGTATTAAATAGAATAATTCACGGGAACCTTCGAACGAGTTCAACAGAAATCCGCCACAATTTGGTTTACCTCTTGATAATGTGAAGTCAAATGAAAAACGTCGACAGCAAGAAAACATACGAAATCGGGAATATAGAGATCTTTTAGAAAAACAGGTATGAATTAGCTTCTAAAGAAAGTTTAGAACTTAATTCCATATCAGTGACGGGTTTGTTAAAATGGAATTTCGGCCGTAAATTTTTAAAAAAGTTAAAATTTAAAATAATGACCAAAATTGATTTACGTCGTAGTTAGAAGTGCAAATGAGGATAGAAAGTGTATTGAATAGTTATTGTGATACCTGAGATTTTTTACTCTATCAATAGTTTTTGGTTTATAAGATAAACCCACGGATAGAATTTGTTTGGCTCACAAGGAGGTCTTGCTTTATATGTTAAAACAGATTTCATATACGTACTTTTTTGTTGGTTTGTGATGCGTTCTCATGAAGTAAACGTGACTAACGTGACTGTATATTTTTATCGGGTTTGTGAGATGTGAAATGAAGCGTGATGTTGTTATATGAGGTTAGTAACCTTGATATATTTTGGCAGTGAATCATATTACTTTCCTACTTACATTAAATAGAGTAATTCAAGGCAACCTTCGCACGAGTTTGACAGAAAACGTCCAGAATTCGGTTTACCTCTTGATAATAGGAGATCAAATGAAATGCATCGAAAGCAGGAGAGAGACCGAAATCAGGAGTATAACGATTTTTTAAAAACACAGGTATGAATGAACTTGTAAAGCAGAAAGTTTAGCCATGGATGCAATAATGAGACAGATTTACTATTTTTCCTTAATTATCATCATATGAGATAAGAAGTGTTAAAACAAGACGTCAGTATCGAAAAACATGTCACTTCACTCATTCTTCATACTTAAAACATACTGTTAGGGTGAAACTTGCAATTTGAGGAAAACCATACTGATACAAAAATGATTATATTCGGACTGATTTTAAAAATACTGTCTTGATACGGTAAAAAGTGGAGTATGTGCTTGAGGACTTAAAAATAAGTGAATCTGGTTTAATTGTAACGTATCGATAACATAAAACACGTTGTAGTGTCATGGTTCTACCCCTTGTGTTGGTACCCCCTTCTTTAATCTACAATCTCCTGAATTATTTTAGAATCATTCACCACGGAGATTTCATCCACCGACACCCGAGGATAAACAAGGACTCCCATTAACGCAAAAACCTTACGATGAAAAGAAGGCATTAAGTGAAAGGCAGAGAAACATGGAATATAACCAGTATCTAGCAAAGGTATTGCATCGCTCTCTGCCTGCATCTCTATCTAATAGTTTGGAGTTCCTCTTGGACTTTGTGCTGAACCTGGATCCTAATATGTTTTCATAACAGGAGTTGAGCGCTAAACATCACAGCACTGTGTATTTTGAAATAGTTATCACACTTTTGGCACTTTTGACGTTCTACTTATATTTTTCCGGCACATAACAAACTGTTTTCTTTAATTATCCTGACTTGATTGTGGATTGCCATATATATTCTGTTGTAGTGTTTTCCTCTCTCTCACTCTCTAATATGCGAATGTCTTTTGAAGTGAATATTCAGAAAGTGAAACATTGAATGTTCTGTTTGGCATTTGGTCCCACGTAAAAGGGGGAAATTATGTTTGTACTTCTTCGAAATTGAAGTAATATGATTCTTTTGTCCGATGTATCGGACTACTGTCTTTGGGGATCAAAGGACCAATTTACGGACATTTGATTGGCGGTTGCAGTGGCATGCCCTACTCTCATCCTTTTGTCACAGTGTGGCTCTATTTATCAATATGTATTCTGTGGTGATGGCCTTTGTTTCGCTTGACTTTCAATTTGTCTCTTGCATTTTCTAAAGAGTTGGCTTCTGATTGCCTCCATATGCCTCTGAAGTGGATAACATTTTGTTTCCTTGGAGTTTTATGATTTTAATGAGGTGTTTCACTCACTGAATGCCTACAAATTCTTTTGGAGATCATCTGTTTTCTTCTGTCAATTGTACTTTCAATTTCTTGTTTGATTCATTACACTTTTTGAAACAATGGTTAACAAATTTAACTTCTCTTTGCTTTGATCTTTGAATTTTTACACAAAGTTTCTTCTGGTTTCTGAAATACTTGTTCTCTGAAATGCACAGTAATGTATGGATTTCCATATAGCAACGCTCTCTTGAGAAAATTCAGCTTTATATATTACAATAAATTGATTGTTGAGAAGAATAATGGAAATTAATTTGTTTTAAATTGAAAAATTTATTGGTCTATATCGAAATGGATTTTGTATAATAGTGTCTTTAGAGGTAGTATATTATGTCCATGTAGAGCGGACTCCCTTTTGATAAGATGAGTCTGAACGGAAGTGTTCACCAGTCAGCGGTATCTAGAAAAGAAAATGTCTACCATTCAGCAAAGGAACCACGTTCTCCACAGAAAAGATACCCCAGCAAGAAAAATGATCGAGAGGTCGAACACAGGGTTGAGGAAGAGAAGAAGGTAAAATGGCTACCAGATGCCGAAGTGATGTCTGCAAGCTTGCTATTGTGGCGTAGAATGCCACGTGTCCCGTCTTGCCAGCTTTCTAGTTATATATTTGAGCAGTAGCGATTTTTGTGTAAGCTTGTGAATGAGTAGAAAGATTTCTAATGCTAGACGTATAAATCATTTCTTTTCAGAATCATACAAGATATTGGAATATGTTGAATGAGGTAAAGTGAGAAATATATATATATATTTAAATAAACCACTTTCAATTTCTCACGAATTTTCCTATTCTTTCACAGTCTACAAATCTTTCTGTTAAATGCTTTCTTGGACATTTTAAAAAGTTCCAACTCGAAACCTTCTAAGTAACAAGTCATTTAACACCAGGGTTGTCTTTTTCTCTCCCTCTTTTTCACTCCCTATGTAGCTTTCTATAAAATATATTACTTCTGTGTAACTACTGATAAAATATTTGAATTATTTGATAATTTTGGAGTCGAAAGAAATGGGTTTTTCATTTATTATGTCAGTGTAAAATATATGTAATGAACTGAAAAAATACAGTGGTTTGTTTTGTGCATTGGTAACTGTTAAAAACAATGCTCCAAAACTGGGCCAGATATGATAATGAAGTGTCATTGTGAGGAGTTTAATTACAATGGTGTCATCATAAACGACCTTATTTTCTTCAAAATGTAGAGTTCACTTTTTTTATGCACACTAACATTTTATGTTCATCTTGTTAAACACAAGATAAATACGACTTATGATGTGTTGATTTTACTTTAAATTTCCCTTAACGTATGTTTTTTCAAATATGTTTAATATACTGGTAGAGAGTATACCTTGCTTCAAAGAAATTGTATCAAAACCTTGCTTCAAAGAACAGCTTTCTGGAGAGGAAGATTTATGATTTTATCTTTGCCATCTGATGCTTATGTTATTTGCTTTGTGATTACAGAAAAATGACTCGTATTCATGAGATGTGTCAAAAGTATATATACGTGAAATCATGTTACGTCAGGTGTGTGCTTGTAAGGTGTTTAAATATGAAGCGCACTAGACGTATGTGGAAGGTAACGTTGTATCCATATCATATATGTACGTACTCACGTGAAAAAGCATTGATGATGTATAAAGTATGGCCGGCAGGATGTGTGTAATGACATACCCTTATATGAACTGAGACATGATCTAGGTTTGTTTTTGATTAACGTCTTTTTATGCTAGACGAGGTAGTATAGTTATATACAAAACGGATAACGATGATAATTGGCGAGGGCTGTCAATGCTGTTTAGTTAACTTACACCATACAAAACCATACAAGCATGCGGTAAAGTGATACCATTCATAACCATTTAACTATCACATATTTCATACAATAATATCGTGTGCTTTACAAGAGTATGTTAGCATTAGATAGCGTAACACGAAGGATGGGCAAATAAAGTAGTGCATGTTTTATCAGCTTACGTGCGGCAGTTGTGATAGCATGGTTTGTGGTTGTGTTGCAAAATCAGTATAATACTTACAATGTAGATATTGTATTTTTGGAGTGGAAACTAATTCAAATACGGGTGTTACGGCAATCTACGTTCTTTATTGTACAGATTCCTTTTATGCCACCCATCCTGCTCCCAGAAGAAAAAAATCCTAGTTAGGGATTCCATTAGAGTTAAGGTGGGGAAAGCGTCTATTTGAGTGGTCAGTGCTGTTATGTATCGTCTCCAATTGTTCAATGTTGTGTGTTAAGGACTCTTAGACCGTGGTTGTAGTCATTTACTGTTTCCAAATCTAAGCTGCCGCATAAAACGGTCAGACATATACCAAGCGGAGGAAGTAGGCCGGATGTTGATGTCAACTTTGAAAGCCAGAAGGCTTTTCCTATGGGTAATGACTATGCTGCAAAACAGAAGAAACTGAAGGAAGAGTGGAGGATGAGCTATGAGTCAATGAAGGACAAGGTTGGTCAAACCACGGTGTGTATTTGTTTGCTTCACATTTTACTCCATGTATCGGTAAGAACACTACCCAGCATCACTTCACGTAACCATAACTGCGGTGTTTGTGGATATATATCGTGAACAGCTGATACTAGTGCTTTTACTCTTTACTATTAGTTGGTATATTAATATACTTCGTGTAACTATTTCATCGTAATAAGGAATGTTATAAAAAAACTATTAAAGACTTTTAATATTTTAATGTGCAACAAACATGAAAATATCAACATGTCAACATAATCATAATCCAAACACAAATTCAATAAAACTAGGGCAAAATATAAACAAAAGAAATATTTAAACGGAGAGTCTTGCAAAAGAATAAGACCAGGTGTTCCGGAAGAGTAAGCGTCTTCTGCATTTTTAATACATGTGGTTGATGTATAACTTTATTAGATATAAAACTATTAAAATTGATGAAATATTACCTTTATTCATATCATACTGATTATATCAGGAATGTGAAAATAGACAATTATGTTCTTGTTATGAAATTAAGGTTAATAAGGCGACATTTGATATTGTTTTATGATTTTTTCAGTTTAAGAAAAAATCATATACGCCACAAGTGAAAATACAGGTATGCGTCTCTGGTGGGACGCATTAGTTAAGCTATATTTCATAACGTTGAAGCCTTATTAACGTGGTGTACGGGTTTGGAATGAAATTACTATTTAGATCCTGATTATATTAAAACCACTCGTCATTTGTCATTTTAACTCCAATGGTGAGGTTGTTGCATTGGTGGTGTTGTTCACACCCTGTACACTAACGTCATTGTCTATGTCAGTTTGAAATGAAAATGAATTAGATATGATGTGGCAGAGGAACGAGTGTTAAAGTGTGGTCAATCTTCAAGTAAAACCTTGCTAATGTGACGTGTTTTGTAACTTGCATTTGATTTAATTTGCATGAACCATCCTATAAGGTTAATACTTTTCTAATTTTAAGTTATCTTAACTCCTTTAAATACTATACATTTAAAATTCAAACTATTTCACTGGTTTGCTTTAACTTATTTTAAATATACATATGTAGGTATAACATTAAGAATAAATGATATTTGATTAAAATAGATTACAAAAGACGACGATGCCCGAAGCAAGAGAGAAGGTAGCTTCCGAGAATCCTGGGAGCGTAGTATGGAATCTCCTCCTATAGTGCCCGCGGGTTCTTATGATCTTAAAAGGGAGAAGATCAGGGCGGGCCTCCAGGCCGACTATCAAGTCTACCTGGCATCGGTACATTTCTTTTAGCTGGCTTGTTGTCGAATGAATTCTCTTTTTGGTAGCGATATATTGACATGCTACTTGTTCTAATTCTCACTCCTTAATACTTTCAATTTAAATAAAGACTAATATCAACCAACACGAGTAGATATAAGGTAATTGTAATTGATACAGTTCAATGTCATATTTTCGTTAAAACGTTTTGTCAAAGAGGTATTCCCGATATTTTGGAACTCAAAATGCAATGAATGTAGCGACTTTGCGAATATTTGCAATTAGAAATATACAAAAAAAAAAAAAAAAAAAGAATTTTTTTCTTTTCTTTTCTTTTTCTTTTCTTTTTCTTTTTGAAAAAAAAAAAACAGAGTTGGCCGAATACCCTTTAACTGTTGCTCTTGTTTCACATTACATGTTGCAGGTATTAGAATCTAACCTCAATGTAGTCGTATTCATTTGTGTTGAATGTTGGTGAAGTGCATTGTATAATGAATATTATCTACACGAATAACAATGGAAATGGTTTTGTCATTGATATTTGACTTTGAGAATTGTGATTTTTTACCCGGAATGAAGTCTTTATGGTAACAAACTTTTGTGTCCTTCAGTAGATAGTCTTATAGTTTGTTTATTGTTGAAGATTTACTTATATTGACAACATTGATGTGGTTTCCACAGTGAATTAAATTACTAAGTCGGACTACAGCCAAATCTTAACGCGTTTTGGATACGGTGTTGGACTGTGAAAGCGTTTAGTTTAAATATGTGTTTGTTTTGTTGAACTTGGATTTGTTGAAGTGTTTTCACATTTAACTTACTTGACAAAAAGGGTTTTTCTAGTATGATGGTTTGGGGTATAAAATGTATATGCAATTTTTCCCTATTTCAATTTCATATTGACGAAGAAAGTTGTAAGCAAATAACGATTTTGTTTCTGAGATGCAAGTTTTATCTCTTCATTAATTCTTAAAGCGTAATGAAACAAAATGAAACGTTGGCATATAATTACAAATAAGTAAATAAATAAATAAAATGAAATAAATAAATGCGTTAAACTAATTCACAGTCTTTCGAATACACAACATATGGTTTATCTAAACAGTTGTCGTGGTGTTTCTCTCCTTTTGGATCCAGTGCTTATTAGCTGTTTTGATATGATTTGTTGTTAGCAACAACCCGCTAACAGAAGTAAAGAATTCTGGGGGTCTAATGATAATCCCAAGATTTACCCCACTTCCGGAGAATACAAGAAGCGAGGAGAGAAAATGAAAGAAGAACTACGGGAGGAATTTCACCACTTCATGGAAAAGGTAGTTGAGTGCATGAAGAAACGGGTAAAGAGAAATAACTTAGAACAAAATATCAACTTTTACACTAGTAACCAGTTAATCAACATAGCTTAGTTATAACATGTCTCATCGACGCTTTGAACTCGGTAATCCAGGAATTTAAAAAAAATATATAAATTCTTCATGATCAAGAACGACACGCATATCAACTTATACGTTTATTGAAGAGTTTGTTTTTCAATTCAGAGAACTGTCTAGACTAACGTATTGTGTCTATATTCCTTCTATAAATAAACCATTTCTGAACATTTAGCAAGAACCACCAAAAGAGAGGAAGAAGGTATTTGGCGATCAAGGTAGTGTGCTGTTTGTATCAGAATACCCGGACACAAAAAAGCACATGAACGCAGTGAGAAAGAAAGAGATGATAGAACATCTAGAGGTATCGAGTGATCTCCCCTTAATAACAGTGTGTATCGGAGTGGCGGCGTTTTAAATAGCACATTGTATATTTTGTTTGAAACTATTACAACATATATACTTTTGATACATTCTTTTTGTTATTGCAGCTTTCTTATTTTACATACGGATTTACAAAATAAGATTTCTTTGAAGCAAGGTTTTTAATATTTGGGAGGATTTGACACTTTTTTTCAAAGTGTTTACAAATTTATGTCATATGTGTAATGAATTATATTATATGAACGCATCCTGAATTGCTGTGTGTATTAATATATCATTTTCATATGTTGTGACTTTAGGATGTATTATAGTGTTATACTAACACGTGTTAATCAAGCATTAATGTATTGGACGTAATTATGGTTTACAAACATTAAACTTTCCTATTATAATAAACTCGTTCTTTGAGTGTGTCATAAATCGCATTATATGTCCAGTGCATGTTTGATATCTTAGCTATTTACCTATCTTCTAACATAGCAGATAATATTTTTCTAATGTATACATTTAATGAACTCTCGACTTGAAGAAAATTAGACTTCGCTAATACGAAATGGGAAGTTGGGAGCTATTTATCTGTATTAGATTAACAATTTTTTATTGATCAGATTATGGCTGTGTGTTTGTATAAGTTGTTGGAGGAAACGTCTTAATACCATAGTTACATGTTATATTGTATGTATTTTTTTTTCTAGACACGGCTTGGCTATGTAACTTCCTGTATTGATTTCTGACCTTATTGCCGTCTGTTGCATGCGGTCAATGTTCTACGTTCCATGAATATAAACGGAAAACTTACTTTACCTCAATCTTGTCATCAATTACTCCACTTTTGTCGACGGTTGATTTTATGCCGAATATTCTTTTACGTCTTCTTTTCTCGCTAAATTTTAAAGATAATGACTATTTTATGAAAGATATAAGATAGAAAAAATCCCGTACACACAATACAAGCACGACAGTTTTGTTCTTTTTCTCCACGTGATTGCCATTCCTTGCAGAAAAAGAAGGGCGAGGTACAAAGGAGACAAGGAGACCCTTCTATGGATGAAAAGAACATGTTTTCAGATATGGGTAAATCTCAAGAAGCTCAAAGACAGAGAGTGCGCGAGGACGCTAAGCAAAATTACAATAACTATATCGATCACGTGAGTTTGTTTTCTAAATTCTTTCACTGTGTTTTTAATAATGTATTGATGTTTTCTTTATTGATAAGTGTATTTATCTATAAAAATGCGAATACTATGAAAAATACTGCTTAGATAATTGATATTTGGAAGATGATAATTAAATTATCGAATTTAAATTCTTCCGTTTAGCGTACCGAAATATCTTTGATTGATGTTATCAACTTAAACAGATAATTTATTACAAGCAAGAGATCTGGGAAGACGTACCTTTCATTTCAGCAACTGATTGTGTGTGGATTATATATACATGTATATATCTATTATAACTGTGTGGTGTATTGTTTTTGCTAGACACCTTCTATGCTGCTATCGAGTGACACAACACATATTTCGTCTTGAATTCTATATGAAATGCCAGCTGATCTGCATGCACAGCACCTGTCTTCCTTATACTTACCTTGCATTTTTCCGTGCTGAGTTTTGAAGTGAAATTGTATCATAAAGATGACATTAGTGGACATTATAAACCTGAGTGTTGATTTATTCAAAACTTTAACAATTTTTCGTCGTGTTAAATTCACAATTTTTCTCTTTTAAAAATAAATTGCAAAAAAGATTGCGGACTTGACACTCAAATATTCTCCTTAGCTTAGGTTGAGTAAGTCATGAATTAGACCCCTACATCAGTAAAAGTAGGAAACTCTTGCAATACACCACTTAGTTGTTTGTTAATGTGGTTGATTATTGGGTATGTGCTAGCATGTAGATTAGTATTGTAAATGTGTAAATCTTATTCCAGGCCTTCCCAGAAGGTCTAGAAAGAGGACAGCCGTCCTTTGCTACTAGGATACCGCTACCCGTAAGTCGTAGGCTAGAGAAAGGGGAAATAACTCTCTCTACCATGCTCAAAAGCAACATAGTAATTTCGTAGAAAAGCTAACATCTAGAACTAATATACCTTGATACATTTGTGTGTACATATGGTTTTCAGAAATTTCACAATCTTAGAAATATATGATAATTTTGTAAGCGATACACGAGTAGGAAAACCCGAATTAATATTATATGTAAATAAGAAAAGTTACATATTTATATAGAAACGAAAAATTACTTACACTGTACTTTATTGATGTTCAATAGATGTATGTGATGTTTGACACGTTTTCATATAAAATAGTTCTGTTTATCTTTATTTCTGGTTCTATATACTATATTCTGTAAGATTTTATGTAGAAATATTAATCTTTTGTTTGGCAATACATTCGAAAGAACTTTGATTATTGGAAAATAAAAATAGATAACTCTGATAATACCCAAATGAATATGGTGTGTTGTTTTCTATATATTTCATTTATTTCTCCTTACAATCTGCTTGTGTTTCCGTATACTCTGTCTTTTCAACTTTTGCACGAGTGCGGTTTTCTTTCTACTTTTTCCGTTTCCGCTGCATGTTTTGGTATGTTTTAAAAATATATATCGTTATTTGTCTAAAGCAATGTATACTTTCCAACACAGGACAGTTGGTATACCGCCCAACCTCCTACACATAGACGATCACCGCCCCGGGATTACAGGTAGGATTCACTGTCTAGAAAATAACACAGACCATATTATGTACATTCTAAATGGCTGGCGATTGATAATATCGTTGTTTACTTGACAATAAAGAACATCTGAGGCTATTAACAATACAATTGTGAAATATGATAAATTAGCATTATAAGATTCAGACTCGAAGATATATTGGGTGCTTATATAGTTGTATCACACATACATGTATATTAAACATATTCTTATAAAACAAATGTTTTGGTAATGTTGATCAAACCTTTTACAGGCCTGAACAAGAAAGGAGTAGTGACCTTTACGCCGGTAGATTGGAACAAGCACGTGCGAATGAAGCGATGTACAGGTAAGTACAGTCAGTTATGTGAAATATTGATGATCAAGGAAAGTGCATCCAGTTGCTCCACCATTTATAGCACTAAAAGTATCGAAGATTTGTATGGTTAAATGAAACTTCGCCAGAATGTAAATGTCATGATTCCGTATCGCGACTGTATTTCACTTAATCGAGGGTCACATACTAGTATTGTTTTTCATTGCGCTCATGTTCTCTTCGTACTATTGTATAGACTAATTGAAATGATATCTCAATATTTTTTCTTGTGTTAACACGAGCTTATTTTAACACCATCTTCTACACCTGAGTTCAGTAATCGGTGATAAGGTGAAGACTGAATTCTTGTGTGCATTAGCCAATCAGAAGGTGATTTGTCTTAGCTGGGTAGATATACCTCTATGTGAACCCTCTCGGTTTCTTTTGTTTTCTAGGAGACATGACCACGAAATGAATGGCCAGAGGCCTCCTCCACCAAGACAAGAAGCCCCATATGCGTTGCATTAAAATGGTATGTCTGTATACTTTATTGATTAAGAATATGACGGTAGGTGTTTAGGTTACTTAGAATGTGACGGTAGGTGTTTAGATTACTAAGAATGTGACGGTAGGTGTTTAGATTACTAAGAATGTGACGGTAGGTGTTTAGATTACTAAGAATGTGACGGTAGGTGTTTAGATTACGAGGAATGTGACGGTAGGTGTTTAGATTACTAAGAATGTGACGGTAGGTGTTTAGATTACTAAGAATGTGACGGTAGGTGTTTAGATTACTAAGAATGTGACGGTAGGTGTTTAGATTACTAAGAATGTGACGGTAGGTGTTTAGATTACTAAGAATGTGACGGTAGGTGTTTAGATTACTTAGAATGTGACGGTAGGTGTTTAGATTACTTCGAATGTGACGGTAGGTGTTTAGGTTACTTAGAATGTGACGGTAGGTGTTTAGATTACGAGGAATGTGACGGTAGGTGTTTAGATTACTAAGAATGTGACGGTAGGTGTTTAGATTACTAAGAATATGACGGTAGGTGTTTAGATTACTAGGAATGTGACGGTAGGTGTTTAGGTTACTTAGAATGTGACGGTAGGTGTTTAGATTACTTAGAATGTGACGGTAGGTGTTTAGATAACTTTTTTCACATAAATGTTTCTCGCTCAAATGAATGATTAATATCACTCATATTTCTGTTATTCTATGACAGAACATTACAGGAGTATTTATCGGATAATCCAACTGGTTTTGTAATGGATTTTTGTCTAAGATAGCTTGTTATTTATTCTAAATTAGTCAATAAGTCAAACTATCAGTAACCCGATTTGGCGTTTATATTTACAACGTTATGATCATAATATGAAATACAGAAACTTACTCGCACAACGAGACGTCTCCCATGATGCTGTCCCAGTATTGTACTGAAATTTCAGTTGTCTTGTCAAATAGTTTGCATGTAATCAAGAAAATTGTTAACTCATTTGATCATACATAATGGTATATATATCTCAATTCTGTTTATTCTCGAATATCATATCTCTGCTGAAATTAGAAGGCTATAGGATAAGTAGTTGTATTGTTTATACCTTAACTTTTCAAACAAGAATAGCATCGCTTTATAAGTATCATCCATTGATGATCATACGTTAACAAAAGAAAGTGATCGCCCTTTGTTAATGTCTTCGCGGTTTATTTAGAGTAAAAGTGTTGTGTTGATCTAAAAGTGATTGTGTTTTAAACCAAACAAAAATAATATAATGTGGTGTTATTTATTTTGTCATGTCTGTTTCAGATAGAAAACTTACAGAAAATGCAAGATGGAACACGTGTTAATGACTTTGGTATATATAATCCAGTAACCTCTGGTTGACTGATGAAGATACCTTATTGACTGATTCCGGATTAGTACTTAGTGAACTTCAAAATATATCAATGGAGACTTTTTATGTGGAAAGCAAGAGAAAAACCTTAACATTATTTAGATAATGATATATTCTTTTAGTCCCGTTGTAAAATGCTTATCTGGTTTATCTAGGAATAGAACAGTTTATGGTATTAGAGATCAAACATCTATTCATAAATTCATAAATGTATATATTCCACCATTAACATGTAAATTTTAACACTTAGATATGTTGTTGATAATCGGATGTTGTTACAGTCACTTACAATATTAATTTAACTGATGAATGGTATACCGTATATCATATTATATTTTATATGAAATTCACTGACATTTAAATGTACCCACTAAACTGCCCATATTACGCATTATTTATTCTTCCGTTATTTAACAAGGTTTATATCCCAGCCCAGGAAATCACTCCATGTTTATTGATATATACAATACGTTTATATTGATTTCTGTGATCTATTCTCCTTTCGTTTACGCTATAGAAAATATAATGTTCTTTCAAAATATGTTTCTGATGTTCATTTCTTATTTCGAATTTTCGAAGAAATGATACTTTTGAAATTAAGCCATAGCATGAAGCTTCACACCAGAATTTTTTTTATAAAGGTGATTTATTTTTGACTGTACGTCTGAAGGTATTTAGATCTGTATAATACAAAAGATTAAAGTAGTGTTGCAACAATGTCTCACTGGCTATCATTAAAGGTATGTAAGGTTATGAGTGAAAGTAGCTAGATACATCATTAAATTTATATAACTGTGATAAATTATGTTGTGTTCATTTTTGAGTTGTGTGAATGTGCCTTTCATTTTCCGTAGGTTAGTAATTCTCGTATAATTTCCTTTTGTATTCTTTGTTGTGATTTACAATTTACGTATCATAATACAGTGAGCATTTACCGTATTATGATATATATATTGCTTCTTGCGATATATGATAATAACACTATTAAATACCTTATAGTAATATATATCTCACTCATTTGACATATGCATTAGTTATATATATCTATCCGAGGTGTGATGATATATGTCCTACGTATAATGCATTTAGCTTGATTATAAGTTCCCCATCAGAAACCAAGAAGGGGAGGACCTTAACTTCACGTTGTGTCCGCCGGTCCTTCCGTTATCTTGTCCGGACTCTATTTCCTACCTTACTTGTCGTTAGAACTTCGTACTTGTGGTATGGGTTCACCGTGTGGAGTCGATATAATGTTTCTATAAAGGTCACGCTGACCTTTATTTTGACCTTTGACACACAAAAAAGAAAAAAATTGGACTCTATCTCCTAAATAACATTTCTCTGGAACGTCATACTTTGGGTACAAGTTACCAATGGTAACTGGCCGAATTTTCTTATTAAGATATCTATATTAAACATAGAAAGATAAGCTTCTTACGTACTGAGATCTATATGTTAATAAGTGTGATACATATCTTACTCTCCTAGTATTATGGGGAAAACGTGTACACTTGGGATATATGTCTTTGTAATTGTCATATATATTTTAGGTATACATATATAATGTGTTGTGATATACAGTTTGTGTTTAACGTTCGTGTATTGTTTATATATAAATATATATATCATCATAAGAATTATGATATATGTCTTGCATACTGTGATATATATAGATATTGTGATATATTTTTGTCAGGTAAATTTTAGTCCGTGAGCATTGAAGATTTTGTGTGTATTAATTTCGTTTCGAACAAATTCTGTGGATACATTTTAATGAATTTTGTCGCTAGTTAAAGATTTGTAGTTGTATATTATGTTTCTAAAACACTTATCAAAATACAGATTTAAAGTAATATAATTTGGTTATATCGTTAAGTATATTTTTAATTTCATTTTTTTAGGTTCAGTTTCTTACGGAATTAATTGATTTATGATTTATCAAGAATATTAAAAAGTAATTGAGTTATTCAGGTGGTTTAGAAAATCTTGTCAGATTTTCCTAAAACTTCGTTCAACAATATAATTCAAGTTTTACTGTTTGTTTAATTAAAAACTTTAAACGACAATATAGCGTTATCATATTTTTTTACTTCGTCCTTGTCAAAAGTCGTGAGCGTAGCCTTCCGTTGTGTTGTTTCGTGTCAAGTTTAACGTATTCTGGTGGTTCTGTCCACAGTATATAAATGGGTTTAAAACATTCGTCGGAATGGTACTTGTTCTGGACATTGTATGTCGATGATTAGTGCTGGGAGAGGGAATTTATTGAGAGTATATATGGTTGCTTATACATTGTATAATTTATTTTGTATCCTAAAAACTTCACTATACTCTCACCCATGTGATACATTTGAACTATTTTTAGAAGCTTGTATTTCTCAAAAAATAAATCGGCTTTCAAGCTTGTATATATTTGTTCTTGTTTTTGAAGTTCGCTTTAAACGATAGGTTCTTAGACTCAGATTGTAACCTAGATATATCGTAATTCTAACGCTGACAGATTGTAACCCTAACCCTGACAGATTGTAACCCTGACATATTGTAACCCTGACAGATTGTAACCCTGACATATTGTAACCCTAACCCTGACAGATTGTAACCCTGACATATTGTAACCCTGACATATTGTAACCCTGACATCACTGATGTTTCATGTCGATAATAACTTGGTTAAAAATGAAATATACGTTCATTATCGACAGTGTTATCCGTCATTATAAAGAAAATTTGATTTTATTTGGTGTACATTAAATCTCACTTCTCTGGTTGACTGATATACTCATTTGAATGCGAATATTGGATAAAAAAAGAAATGATCTTTATAAGGGTTTCCTCCCCTTAGATATGTATTTAGATCTCAATAGCACATTACCTTATTTGGTGCTTTATTAATTACATCCACAGAGTAGTGTAAGCTTATTTCAAGTGGCCATTGAGAAGAAACAATGTATAAAATCGTTTCATGTAAACTTCTTCTTTTTTTCGAAATAATTAAGTGCGTGCTGTAAACTTCCCCATTGTCCTGCTATTTTGCGATTCTTTTGCAGTATCGAGAATACCTGTGAAATGTTTCATTCTTGGGCGTCATGTTTCCGTAGCCTTCAATCCTATTGCTTCCATTAATCAGCTTAGTTTGGAATTATTTGCCTGGAGTGTTGCACCATTCATTTTCTGGATGTCCATTGTCCGATGTTTTGACTTCTTTTCGGCGGCCAAAAGCCTCCTCTCTATTTTGATTGCTGAACATACATGTGATATGTCTTTTCGATCTCGGAATGTAGAGCTTGTTTCATTTTTCCGGCAAATAATGACCTAAATTATCGTTTCATTTTATAACAAATCATTAGGGACTGATGTTACGGTCTAGTTTGCCGACTCATTCTATAATAACAAATCATTAGGGACTGATGTTACGGTCTAGTTTGCCAATACATTTGCTATATTGTATATTAGTATTGGCAGCCGTTTTGTCTGGGCAGCTTGAATCATACCTCGGCAGCGACATACCACACTCTTATAACATAAAACTGTTCAATGTGTTCCGAACATATTTTCTATGACTACAGCCCAATAGACGCTGTCATCTTCAAACCAGAAATGTTCGTTATGTGACAATTCCAATTATGCCGGAAATGACACTAATCTTGTTTTCATTTATAAGTGTGAAAGACACCCTAGAATCCGTCATACAAGATTAAGCACCAATCACTTTTATTTATTTCCGTTTAAGATTTTTTAAGGATATATGTTTTTACAATTTTTTATCTAAATCTGCTGGCATGCGGCTTACCGGTTTCAAATGTTCAACTCTGTTCAAATAAGTCCTTATCCTAATTTGATGAAGCATGGATGAAAGTTGTTGAAATTTTGAAACAACATCAGTAGAACCCTGATAAATTGCACATTGCATATGTTATGTGCTGAGCTATTGACTTCATTGAAATATCTACTACGGAATCAGGAGTCAAGGAATAAGCATACTTAATTTGAATATTGACGGCGCGGTTAGAAAATTTTAAACGACAAAATTATAAAGTATATGGGTTTTACAGGACTTAAGAAATTCCAATATTGTTGTTCGTTCAAATAAATGACAATGACAGTGTCTTCATTTTATTTGTATTTTTGTAAATATAATTATCTATTACCAATGGATACATCGTTATTTACACTCCTTACATCCTATAGATAAAGCTGAGCCTTTCAATCCATATTTCTCTATTTCTGTAACAAACTAAGACCTAACTTCTCTTCTATTGACATAACTTAACAGGATATAATTGCCCAACTCAGGCTTCTATATACTTACAATCACTAGCTCCCTATACCATTCCTCCCAAATTCAGTCTCTCAATATCTTTATAAACCTGGTTTTATACTTTTTAGTAAATCTGTCTCTGCAGCTGTACAGCCTTCCTCCTGGAAAAATGCTCATGTAGCACTAGCATCAAAGGAAAAGTGATCTATCCAGACAAATCTCTGTTACTCCTGTCTTTAGAAAAAGAATTTTGAAAAATGTTTTTAAATACATGTCTCTCAAGACATAATATTATCCCTAGAAAACAATCAGGGTTCCTACCAAAATATTCTACTTTCAATCAATTATCAATCATCCATGATGAAATTGTGACAAAGTTAAATATACAAGAATGGTATTTTTTATATAACTAAAGCATTTGATAGGGTTTCGCATGAGGTTAAAGTGGTTTTTATCTTCCCTTTGTGATAGAGGGCTGACAAGGATATCTCAAGAATCAGTTCTAGGACCAGATATATATTTTTTCTTTATATGATATTTAGCAATGTTGTTTTTATCTTCCCTTTGTGATATTTATATAAAGAATCAGTTCTAGAACCAGATATGTTTTTATCTTACCCATATGATAGAAGACAGACAAGGATATCTCAAGAATCACTTCTAGGACCAGATATGTCTTTATCTTGCCTATATGATAGAGGACAGACAGGGGTACATCA